CTCCATTAATAGTTTGCTTGTGTAGAATTTGCTTCATCTCAATTTCTGCTTCTGAACTAGTTTTGCTGGAAAATACGCTTTACAATAAATACCCTCAGTATAAAGTGGAAGGTTGTGTTCAGAGTTTGGAAGGATTTTAAAAAGTAACGTATTAGTTGCTAATTATCGTTCTCATTATTTTTCCCAAAGTAGTTTGCTACCATTGTCTACTACTCTATTGTTGTTGTTGGAGGTGTGCAGATTCATGTTCAGAACTACAACTCTTAGAATTCTCCGGGCAGCATGATAATGACTTCTGAGAGTTGTTACCAAAACAACAACAACAACAACAACAACAACAAACCAAAATTCCACACACCTTTAATTAATGTACAAATGACAATTAAAATAACGATCCATAATGTCTTAGAATTACAGTGGTACCTTGGTTTATGAAAGCCTCGGTTAATGTACAGTAATTTTTGATTTACAAAGGAAAATCCATTGAAAATAATGCTCCGGTATACGTTTTTTTTCACAGTATGAAGCAAATTTCCCCAGAAAGCATTTTGCCTAGAGGGTTATAGTGCCGTTCCTATGGCAGTCTGTGTTTCGGTTTACGAATTTTTCGCATTATGTAACATCCCGGAGAACACATTAAATTCGTAAACCGAGGTACGCTTGTAATGCAGTCCTTCAAAAGCCTCTGGTTTGTGAGTGTGGGATATTGCTTCTGTATCCACAATTCTAAACATCAGGAAAATAACTACTGAATATTTATTTATTTCTTAATTTATTTAACTTATATGCCGCCCACACTACCCAAAGGTCTCTGGGCGGCTTACAACATTTAAAATACAATCAAAGGCAAAATAAAAGGGCAAAATAATTAAAATGCAGTTAAAAATATATACTCTAAAAATTGCCATTATCTTGCCACATAACAATAGTCCCTTCCCCCAGTTATAGCTGTTCCCAATATGGAAGAGTGTTTTGTGCCATTTCAGAATTTGAGCCTTTTTACATCATCATCATCATCATCATCATCATCATCATCATCATCATCAGAAGAAAGGAAGTCAAGATCTTGTGGGATTATCGAATCCAAACGGACAAACACTTTGAATGTAACATACCAGACATAATAGTAATTGAACAAAGAAATGTCTGGATCATTGAGATTGCAATTCCAGGGGACTGCAGATTTGGAAATAAAGAACTGGAAAAACTAACAGAGACTTGGCCATCAAAACATCTTACTTTTGGATGAAACACACTTTAGTGGTCCCTGTACTCATTGGGGCTTTGGGAAAAACATCAAGAAATGGATCAGAAGCAGACTGGAGTGCAATCCCCCATGTGTCATGTGATCGCTGGGAAAACGATTGCAGCAGACCTCTTCACAAGTGGTCTAATATCTCAGTGATTTAGATATCTGGCTGCAGATGAAAAGGTGGGGAGTTTGATTCTCCACTGAGCCTTCTTGACAAGATCTGGACTTGATGATCCATAGGATTCCTTCCAGCTCTGCAGTTCTATGGTGATGATGATGATGATGATGATGACATAGTCCAACATTGCCTTGCTGTATTGTCCTGTGATACCAGCCTGACAAAGAAGGAAACTTTTACATAACAAAAGCCAACCTGAATGTTGACAACACCAACATAATTCAAAAATGGATACCAATCAAGGGAAAATCCAAGAACCTGGTCTCTTTTTTCATCAGTTAACTACATCTCATCCAAACACAGAACAATTGACATAGCTATTTTTTCCACAATTTTTTAGATATTTATTGCTTGGGGCAGAAAATGGTCTGAATGCCTAAAAGAAATGCTGTGCCGACATATGGATATCGAAGCGATTGTCAGATGCTGGGTGATCAAACCTCTGCTTGTAATCACTAAATCAGTGGCTGAGTCACCCAGGTTATCTATCATGGATCAATAATAAACTGGCCTTTTCAGGTTTGTTCCCTTGGTTGGTGTCTGTTTGTGATGTCTGCCAGTATACTTGGAAGGAAGCCTGACCAAGTTAAATGACACTCCCATGGTAAGGTAGCAATCCTAATAAATCCTCTTGTTCTGAAGTAAGCCCCATTTATTTCAAAGAGATTTACTACTGAATTCAGAAGTGCACAACTGCAAGCCAGATTATTTTGGGGGAATATCCCTATTAAACTGCATAGGGCCTACTTTAAAGTATTCGGATTCTGGCTTGCTCTGTCTAAATACCTGAGAAGGCAAGAATGAAATGAAGGCAGAGGAGTATATTCCAGAGTATTTTTCTCTGTTGTTGGTATCTCTCCCTCTCTCTCCTCTTCATCTGTGGCTACTCCTCTCTTCCCACTCCCCTCCTCCTGCTCTTTCCATAGCTCCTCCCTCTTGTTGAGTATTCCTAGCTCTTCACTCCAGGTGGACTCTCCTCCTCTTCTCTCTTAATGGGTCTCCCCCACCCCACCCTGTGGCTTCTCTCCTTCCCTCCCCACTCTTACTCTCTATGGTCTCTCTCACTTCCTATGGCTTCTGTTTCTCCGTCATTCCATTTCTCCCCTCTTTTTCTGTTTAACTCACCCACTCAACCCGTGGCTTGTCTCTTTGTGTCCATTTGTTCAAAGACATTCCTGTGGTAAGGCTGAAAATCATCTTGCTCAGAAGTAAGCCCCATTAATTTCAATGAGATTGATTTGTTTCCTTAAGTGTTGGCAAAAGTTTTGTTTAGCTGCTACAGAATTCTTCAATAAACATATGCAGGTACAGTTTATGAAATGTTTCATATGTAAAACAAGCATTTTTAAGGTCCTTTTTGAGAGCATGTCACTTGGTACTGATGATCTAAATGCAAGGCGCTGTTAGTTGGCTTTTATATTATTCTCTCCCCCGCCCCTCTTGACTGATGCCTGTAAGTGAATTGACTTTTGTTCTTTCTCTTCATTTTTCAGAATGAGAGAGCTTATTCCTTCTGTGGAACTATAGAATATATGGCTCCAGATATTGTCAAAGGAGGGGAGGCAGGACATGATAAAGTATGTTTTGTCTTCAATTTTGCTTTTACTTAACTGATAGATTTATCATGGAAATGAACTCAGCTCTGAAGTATGCAGAATGATTAGAAGTTTCCAAAATTAAAGTTAAATTTAAAGGAAGATAATATGGGTTTATTTACAAATTAAAAGAAATTTTGAAATCTTACAGACTGTGTTTTTTAATGCCCAGTCTTTTAATTAACTTACCCTGCAATAACACAATTAGTGACTTGTTATGTTGTAATTGGTGCATGCTGGCGCTGTCCCTTATAGTCCTCATGTACTATGGGATCCAGTAATATCATTTTAGGATCCTTTACCAGCCTTCCAAATCCTCGTCAAGACAGCAGCCATCATTTAACACTGTGATGCCGTGCAGTGAGTAGATGGAAATTGCCATAGGCTGTCATAGCAGCTCAACAGGCATATGTCATAGCAGCCTAACAACAAGGTTGGGATTGGAAGGTGTTGTTGGATTTATTGTATTTAATTGAATCAGGCCACCGATGAGCATGGTATGGAGCTGGTTTGTTTCAAGTAATAGGTAAGGTTAACTGTCATTAAATGAATTTAGCACCATGTTTGTTTTGAAATTGTAAGTAAATACTTCTAATCTCCTCATGCATGTACTGATGGAAGAGCTTGGAGAATCTGAACTTAAAGCCGGTCCACAGTCATTCTTGTCATGGCAGACTACAGTGGTGCCCCACTAGACGCTTACCTGCACGACAACGAAATCGCTTGATGATGACTTTTTTGCAATCGCTATAGCGATTGCAAAATGATGTTTCCTATGGGGGATTTTTGTTTAACGACGATTAGGTCCGTGCTTCACGAACTGATTGTTTGCAAAACAATTTAAAACAGCTGATCGGCAGTTCGCAAAATGGCTCCATGCTGTTTTCCGGAACGATTTTCACAAGATAGCGATCGCAAAATGGCCGCCTTATGAAGGATCTTCGCAGGACGATCCGCTCAGAGTGGTATAATTATACCAGATGTTATGCAGGATCTTCGCAGGACGATCTGGTATTTCCCCCATTGGAACGCATTTACAGGTTTTCAGTGCATTCCAATGGATTTTTTTCCGCATGACGACAATTTTGCTGTACAGCGATTTTAACAGAACGGATTATCATCATCATGCGGGGCACTACTGTATTGTTATAAGAAAATGCAGGCAATTAAATTTCAGTCTCACAACTGTTTTAAACAATGAAATGTAGGCTAGGCCACAATCTAACATTAAACTTGCATCTAATTACAATTTATGTCTGTTTTTAAAATTAATCTGTTGTTGTTTACACTTCTTCAAACAGCTGCTTTATTTACTACTTTTTAAGTTTCCCATACGTGTATCAGTTGCAAGTAGTTTTCTAATCTTGTTCATGTTTGGTTATTATTTAATAGGCTGTTGATTGGTGGAGTCTAGGTGTTCTCATGTATGAATTATTAACTGGAGCATCACCTTTTACAGTTGATGGGGAGAGAAATTCACAAGCTGAAATATCTAAGTAAGTTATAGAGTCTCTTCAGACTGACTGATACCCTTTAATAAAACTTCACTGTACTTTTCTTGAAAATGTTATTTGGTATTATTCACATTTTCTTGTAGCAAAGTACATTCTTCCATATATAGATGGATATAGATATATAGATTTTTTTTCCTACATTTTAAATTTTACTTTAAGCAAGTTGTGCAGTACATTTATCTGACAATGTTATCTTTTGCTCTTTTTATCACTGAGGGAGATAATTTATTTAATTTTATTCCCCAATCCCACCCCAAGTAATCAAGCTTCAGAGTGATGCCAGTTAGATTTTATGTACTGGTATCACATATTTGCATTTTTTCTTCTTCTGGTCTGGCAGTTTGTGGTTTGACTTTGTTCTTACCATTTTATGGTCATATTTCTATATACAGTCACACTATTTGCTGCTTATTTCACTAGATTGTGTTAAAGCAAATATTACTATTTCCTCTTTTCTTCAGGAGAATATTAAAAAGTGAACCTCCTTATCCCCAGGAAATGTCTACTTTAGCAAAAAATATAATTCAGTGTCTTCTAAAGAAAGATCCAAAGAAAAGACTGGGTTGTGGCCCAGGTGGTGCTGATGAAATCAAGCAACATCCTTTCTTCCAGGTGAAAGAAAACATGAATTCTGTTCCTATTGCTTTTGGTCACTTATACATTTCTGTTTATAAATACATCTGATAAATGTTAAAGGTAGAGCTTTTTATGTGGTGGTATTCAAAGGATAGGATGCTGCCTTGGGGGAAAGATGTGAAAGGCATTCTTTTCCTATATTTATACAGACTCTGATTACTCTTAAATGCTGTGATTGGAATTTAATTAATTGGTCTTATATGACACTGCTTCGCCTATCAAAATATTTTATGGGTGCCAGAATTATGATGTATTGAACAGTGTAACGTTTGGAGTATATAAGTGTACTAAAACTTGTGCTGTTTTGCATTACCCCAGCATAACCATACAAGAGGATTTTGGTAATAGTTTTTTTTTCTTAATACCTTGGCCAAAATCCTGTTATGCAACTTGAGGTTGCATTCCTGGTACAGTGGACCCTCTACTTACGGAATTAATCCGTATTGGAACAGTGGGTGCAAGCTGAAAAGTCTGTAAGTCGAATCTCCATTGACTTGCAATGCATTGAAAACCGATTAATCCCATAACCGGCCGTTTTTGTTCTATTTTTGTTCCATTTTGGGTTTTTTCTGGTCTGTAGGTCGATTCTCCGGCTGCAAGTCGAATCTAAATTTTGCGGCCAGAGAAGTCTGTAACTCGAAAAGTCTGTAAGTCGAGCCATCTGTAAGTCGAGGGTCCACTGTAGTTGCACTAGCGCTAAGGTGGAAGTGCAATGTGTAAAGCACTTCTGCCAGTACATTGTGCAATCAGCCATGCCAGGGACCCGTGACTGATTACACAATTGCATAGTGCAGTAGCTTGTTGCTGGACTTGTTGCCCAGCACATTTACACTGGTATAACTTCATGAGATTATAGTATTTCCTTAATGTATGAGAAAGCCAGTTCACATCCACAAATATACACACAGAAATACATATTAGTTTTAAATGTGCCACGGAACTTTTTTCATTTTTTTCATATATGCTAAAACAGATTAACATTGCTAAGTCTTAGAAAAATCATTTGGTTAGAAAACTTTATCTCCAGTATGTGGTCATTAAAATAATGTATTCTTGAAGGCTTTCAGAGCACAGACAGAGTTCTGACTCCTGTCCTCTGAAGATGACAGCCACAGAGACTGGCAAAATGTTAGGAAGAACAACCTTCAGAACAAAGAGCCTGAAAAACCCACAACAATAAAGTAATTTGAAGTGTGCATGAGTAATACTAATCAGTAAGGTTGTTCCTGTTCTTGACATATGTTAAGCATTTTTTTGAATGATAATTCATAACGAATTTAAAAATTGATACTTTAAAAAGGAACATGTTTATATGTGGATATGTGGATGTACTCACAAATATACTGTATAATTTGGAAAGCAGAGATATACAGTAATTTAAAAATTGACATTGTTTAAAATTTAAAGAACAGATAGTAATAGTTTCTGCAGTGCAGACATAAAATCTTGTTTGCTTTCTCTCCATTTAATACTTGATTGAGAATAAGACCCATTAGATTTAATGGAAATTATTTCTAAGTAAAATTGCACTATGAGTAATTTTCAAGCTTTCTTGAACAATTCACATTGGCAGTTGAAACATGTACCCTCAAGTTCTTATTTCACTATGTCTTTAACATAATTTAATGTGTTGGTTTAGAATATAATTTGGAATGACTTGGCTGCCAAAAAAGTGCCAGCTCCATTTAAACCAGTAATCCGTGATGAATTGGATGTTAGCAACTTTGCAGAGGAGTTTACAGAGATGGACCCAACATATTCTCCAGCAACTACTCCACAGGCTGCAGACAAGCTTTTCCAGGTAATTGCCATATTATATGAATAAAGTGTGGGGAGATTATTTAAAAATTAAGTAAATTGTTGTGATATTTCACAAGTAGATTATAGTGATATAAGAGTTTGCAGATATTTAAACAGGAAATTCTAAGAGCCCGAAAAACCCAGAACAACTAGAAAATTTTAATATGGGTTGAATATTCTTCAAAATATTTTCCTCTGTGGTATCAGTGGAGAGTAATACATGTTTGGGGGACGTACTCTGTTTAGTTGATGATGCTTAGTCTGCATCATCAGACGCTGATGTTAGGAAAGTGTGAAGGTAGGAGGAGAAGGGGACGACAGAGGATGAGATAGTTGGACAGTGTCATCAAAGTGACCAACATGAATTTGGCCCAACTCCGGGAGGCAGTGGAGGATAGGAGGGCCTGGCGTGCTCTGGTCCATGGCGTCATGAAGAGTCAGACACGACTGAATGACTAAACAACAACAACAAATCTGCAAAATAATGTCAAAAAGGCAAGTGGTGATACCAGGTTGGTCAAAAGATTACACAAGCATGATCTGTGAACTATTTGTGGTAAATGATACTGATTTCAAAGTATTTAAGGACAAAGGTGAGTAAAGATTAGGTACTTGAACACAGTGATTAAGGCCATGTTCCATCTTCTTCCACCCCTATTTTCCTAGGAAATTATGTTTTATAGCTGTATTGAATAAAAAGTCTACATATTGTAATGAGTACCTTTCAAAAGAAATTGACAAAAAAGAATGTTTTATTTCTTCTGCCCCTTCTTCCAGATTTACAAGTTGAAAAAATAGAAAACAGGAAATATTTTGATGTTAAACCAAGTGCTCAAAAATCCAGTCTCCCAGGCAGAGCCTCTTGGGGTAGGGGAAATAATATTGGCTTCTTCAGTGTTGGTGCTTTTATGAGAAGAGTAGACTGAAATATCTCAGCAAGAGGTGGAAGTCAGAGGTAGTCTTGACAGATAAGGTATACAGGTATATGAAAAGAAGAACATGGTGCTACTTCAGAGAGGTTTACAGGATCTGGGGAAAAATTGGAACAGCCTGGTTCAGTTAAAAAAGAATCTGTGAACTGCATTTAGTAGGGACTTTACCACAGACAAGAGCTTTTGCTACTTTCCCTGTATTTTTAGACGGAGGAGGGCTAACAGGTAAGGGAAAAGAAAATGTTGCTAAAGCTAGTTGGATACTGTTCTAAAGTGGTATAGAGGTTCAAGACATAGCTTTAGTTCTTCTTTAAAAGTCTATGGTTTAAGTATTGACAGGGGTACAATAAAGGCTTTGGCCTATTTGAAAATTCATCATGCAAAGTGGCCCTATTATCAAATCACATGGAAGATTTAATTCATGTCAATGTGTGATTCAAAGAGGGTTCCACTCCTTAATGCAGTTCCCCCCAACTATTTTTAGTATGTTGAAAAAGTATAAATGTAAGGTATAGTGGGGAAAAACAGAAATTAAATCCTTTGGTTGTCTGATTGAAGGCATAAGTGGAAAGGCAAGTAGGTGAACATACAATATGATAAACATAGCATTCAGAAGTCTTTTGCCACTGAATACTTTCCTAGATACAGTTGTGTTCAAAATTATTCAACCCCCACTGAAATTGAATGTTTTGGCCATTTTGACATTGATTTTGATCATTCAGTCATCTTGCTTACATTTACATGAAAGAGGCACTTGTAGGTCAGAGAAATATAATCTTAAGTTTATAATGAAATAACCACAAATGTCTTTTCTGTGCTCACATCATTATTAGTTTTTATTCAACCCCCAAGTGACATTCAATCTTAGTACTTAGTACAACATCCTTTTACAGTTATAACAGCTTTTAAACGTGAAGCATAGCTTGACACAAGTGTCTTGCAGCGATCTACGGGTATCTTCGCCCATTCTTCATGGGCAAAAGCCTCCAGTTCAGTCAAATTCTTAGGCTTGCGCACTGCAACTGCTTTCCAGAAATTAAATCCTTTGGTTGTCTGATTGAAGGCATAAGTGGAAAGGCAAGTAGGTGAACATACAATATGATAAACATAGCATTCAGAAGTCTTTTGCCACTGAATACTTTCCTAGATATAATTATCTGAACTTATGCATACCAGTCCTATGCATGTTTACTCAGGGGTATATTCTGACTTTAGCAGGATTTTCTTCTCAACTATTAGGCTGTTTTGCTGCCCAAATTGCAGCCCTACATTTGCTCTTTTGGGATTAAGACATCCAGATGTAAGAGTAGCCATGCTGCTTGAGACAGGAAGTTTGCCCGGCCCAGCATTCTGTGCCTTAAGGTTGCACATTAGAATAATCTATCATAGCTTTAATGTTTTACAATATTGTTTTGGATCAAACAAGTTATAAATTGTAACTTAATTTAGAGACAGAATTTAATGGCTGTATTCAAATACTACAATAAACGATGGTATATTAGGATGCGAACAAGCCTTGCCCATCTCCTACGCCAGTGATGGCGAACCTATGGCACACTTGCCCATCCATCTCCTAGGCCAGTGATGGCAAACCTATGGCACACACTCTTTCTTCTGGCACACGAGCCATAGGTCGCTACTCCCCCACCCCCGTGCGCAGCCAAACCTCATGAGGCAGCTGCAGCCAGGATTCCCCCTTCTGTCACCACTTTCTGGGTCCTCTGGGTCCATCGGCATGATTTACTCTTAAACTGTCACTTCCGGTTGTGGGTCCTCTGGGTCCATTGCCATGATTCCCCCTTAAACTGCCACTTCCGGTTCTGGTCTTCCGCGTCCGTTGCCGCCGCTATTGCATGCAACCCCAAAAAGGTTCCCACCACTGTCCTAGGCTTATGTACTCCACCATTGTCCTGCAGAACGGATTTCCTTTACATCTTGATTAGCCAAATTATATTGTGTTATCTGAACATGACGAATAATAATAATTGTAACTATGGTTTGTTTAGCTGGCTAGATAAACATCTGGCTGTGGAGCCAGAGGTTGGGAGTTCAATTCCTCATTGTGTCTCATGGGCAAGCTGCACAGTCCCAGGGCACCCTTCAGAAGAAGGGAATGGTAAACCACTTCTAAGTATGCTGCCATACCTAGAAAACCCTTGGAGAGGGTCACCATAAGTCATAATTGACTTCAGAGCACAGTTATTATTTATGTTTTGTTTAAAGTGCCAACTTGAGTGTTGATGCTGTCTTATTTCAGAAAACACCAGTTGAGCTTAAACAAAATGAAGTGTTCAAACAACATGTTAATCTGTGATTAATCTAAAACATAAACACTATCTTCCAGTTTCTTCACAACCACAGTTTAGAGTAGAGGTGAAGACAGGAGACAGTGAGATTTGTCCCCATCAGGAGAAAACCATAGTCAAAATCCTGTTGGTTAGTTATGATGGCATAAATTACAGTGGCATATTGCCATTAGTTAAATAATTGCTGCTTATATCTTTTGTCATGTACCAACTCATGTGAATGGCATTCCATTAGGATACAAGCAGTTATTTGTTAAGTAGTGTCAATTTACTGCTGCAGTTGTTGTGGTTTCACTTAATACTGGTTTAACAAACTGCTGGATTATAGGCCAGCAGGAAAAGCTTCAGCCACATCTATTTAATAATTTAGATAATGCTCAACTGGTTCAGTTCAGCGTTCAGCCTGGAGGCAGGCGGTGCATCATGGCCTCTCCCAATTAGAAGAGACACTTGTCCAGCAGGCTGAAGCAAAGAGGCAGTCCCGAAACCAGCAAAACCAGGGAGCTGGACAGGGGACAGATTGTATTTGTCTTCAATGTGGAAGGGATTGTCGCTCTCGAATTGGCCTTCTCAGCCACACTAGACACTGTTCCAAGACCTCCATACAGAGCACGTTACCGTAGTCTGGAGACTGAAGGATGCCTACTAAAAATTTAGATAATCATTTGATTGTAATTTTGTAAAAGATTGATATTCATAGTACAAAATCCTCTTGCTTAGCATAGAAAATTGCACAAGACTAGGCCCACTGCTAAAATAAGTCATAGTTAGAATGGGCACATTCGAAAAAAATGGTCTTTACAATGTAGTTGAGTCACTAAATCCCAATTGATTGAATATATCTATTCTATTGCAGTTTATGAATATATCTATTCTATTGCAGTTTACTACTAAACAACAGGATATTGACCATGTAGGACAGAAAATCTCTGAAGTAAAAATGCAGTTCTCTTAATATATTTCAAAGTAATTATATTAAGTAGTTAAAATTTAGGTGGGTTTGATTTTTGCTTTTTAAAATATGGCAGAGAATAGATTTTACTTATTTATAAAACATCTGTGTGCTATTCTGTTTTGAATCTCCTTTGCTGGTTTTTGAGAGAGAGATTTTATCTTGCAGTGATGTCTTCGATGTGTGAGCATTAAACAGAATAATATAGTAATCAGAAGAGCCTATGCGAATAGAAGGGCACCTGCTCATCCTGGGTATCTCTGTCACTATTCTCTCGCCTTGCTTGCAGCTCCTGTGTACATGATGTTATATTTCATATTCTCCTCAGTTGGGGATGCTTGAAGAATTTTTCTTTCACAGTAACTGCACGAACTGACTTGATTCATATCTCCTAGTCTAATACTTACTTTAGAAATCAGTATCTTTATGATTCCACAGTGCTCTGACTTTAGCACTGCAGTTCTTTAGTCAAAAATGTATAAAATGCATATTTGGATAAAATACTTTTATCAGGCACACATTGATGTTTAAAGAAAATACATCAATGTATGCCTGACAATATATGTCATTTTATAATACATGAATATGAACATTATGCATGGGATCTGTCCACTACTGTACAAGGAGATATCTTCCTTCCACAAGGACCTGGTTTGAGAGCTGTCATCACTTGACTGCATTCCCTGGTTCCAGTACCTTTAAAAATAACTAGTTGCTGATCTTTAACATGCTGTTTCAGGCCCAACCCCACATATATATGTATAGGTAGGTGTTCCTATGCACAAACTAGTTTTGTTGAATTGAGTGTGTGTGTATATTTTCATGTGCTAGCAAAATGTTTATATCAGTGTTTCCTCCAAAACAGGAAAATCTGTTATCCGACTACCTTGACTCTGATAATTCAGGGTAATTCCATTGACACTTCAGATTATGAAGCATTTTTAACCAGGTGAAAAATATTTGACATTTGCCCAATCATAATATAAACTTGTTTGATACCTTAACTGTAGGTGTCTTGAGAAGCTAGCCAGTTTGACGTATGAACCTTTGTCACCAGTGAAAAAGCTGTGAGTCAGTTTTTTAAAGCCTTTCTCTACAATCTAATTTTTATTGATTTTTAATAATTTTTGGACCAGATCATTCTTTCAGGTAGGCTGATTCTTTTGAAATAATTTGGAGTCCCGTCATTTCCTTGAATGGAATGGTTCTTGTTTACCTTATGTATTGATTTTTTTTCTGTCTGAATTTTAAGTACCTTAATCAATGAAATTCTGACAAAATTTGAAAACTGTCAACTCTTTACATGATGGATGTTGTTCTTTTTTAGGGATATTCTTTTGTTGCTCCTTCTATCTTATTCAAACGCAACGCAGCCACTGTGGATCCTGTTCAGCTTTTGACAGATGTTGACCGACCTGGTGTTACAAGTATTGCTAGAAGTGCTATGATGAAGGTAGTATTAAGACCTTATCTGGCTATCAAAAGTTCTAATGAATACAGTGTTCCCTGTTTTAGAGTGCAATCTGAGAACATGAGTTTGTGAGGGAGACTTGGAAGAATTTCTGACATGCATGCAGGGACTGTATTTTTAACTGCTCACCTTATAGTGAAATTATGTACAAATTATGTAGACGGCATACTGTATCAGTCATTCAGAAATTTCCTGCTCATGGTTACTCTACTGTCTACATGTGATCAGAGGTTCTTCTTCGTGGTCTCTGTGAGACACCTATGTGGGTTCTTTCTGTGCCTGCACAAAGCTCTCTCGGAACTTTTCAGAGCCTAAAAATCCTTTGGTTTTACTCTGAACTGTCAGTGCACCTCCCAGCCTGTAGGGAATCTCCAGACCCCTTTTAGCTGCCACTGAGAAAACATATCTTGGAATGTCTTAGAGCTTTTTATCAAAACAAAAATAAACAACAAACAGACAAAACCTTTATAATTTATCTTCTCATCATTGGTCTTCTTCCTGCCCTTCATTTTCTTAAAAATGTGTAGCCTTTAAACTTTTCATATGCATCATAACCAACACTGTTAAACTGATGGTATAGGTTTCAATTTACATTCAAGATACTCTAAAATAAATTATGTAAATGAAAGAACACTAGGCTGTAATGCAACACGCTTAACAAGGACTGAACCCCATTAAGCTAAAACCGTTACTTCAGATACACTTTAAAAGGTTTGTGTACTTTGTGAATCAAATTTGTGTTCATTTCTTTCAGGCAAAAAAGTGCACCAGAAAATATCACGCAATTACAGTAGGACCACAGTATCCACAGGGGCTTAGTTTCATGGATATAAAAAACTGCGGAAGTATCAATACATTGTACAAGTATCAAACACTCTAGCTCCCTCTAGTGGCCAGTTCTGGTAAATACATCCTGGAAATATGTATACATACATATTTCTGAGGGGTTTTTATTTAGTGTTTTCAGGCAGCGGATAAGTGAATCAGTAGATAGTCATGCCTTGGATAGGGAGGGCCCTACTGTATAGTATAAAGATTTAGGGCCAAAACATAACTTACAGGCAATTGTTATTTTTTTTTCTGATTTAGTTCATAAACACTGCTAAATATGGCCATTTTTCCTCCACAGGATTCTGCATTTTATCTTCACTATGAGTTGGATCTGAAGGAGAAACCACTGGGAGAAGGAAGTTTTTCCATCTGTCGAAAATGCACACATAAAAAAAGTAGCCAAGAATATGCAGTAAAAATAATTAGTAAAAGGTATAAAGATAGATACCTAGTGTGATGTAGTGTAAAGGACTCAGGAGGCCTGGGTTTGAATTTCCACTCAGCCATAGAAACTCATTGGGGTATCAAATTGGTAAAACCACTCCTTAAATATCTCACGTACCTTGGAAACTCTGTTAAGGTCACTATAAGTCAGTTTCAGTTTGATGGCACATAACATAAGATAACATAACGTAACATAAAGACAGTAAATACATTCTTTTTTTATTGTAAAAATTGAATAATGAAAATATAGTTTATTAATTTAAAATTCTTACTAGAAATACTGCCAGGGTGGCTTATAGAAATAAAAGAACAATAACAAATACAATATAGTTATAAAATCTTAAAGATTAAACAGTGGATAGAAATTGGAAGCAATAAAATCATCAGAATTTAACCATAAAAACATGAGAGTGTATAGGTGTACCAAAAGTTACTGGTGCTAAAAATATAGCAAAAGAGAAGCCTGACATGCCTTTTTGGGAAGGATCTCCATAAGTGGATAACCACAATTCAGAAGGCCCCTTTCTTGTCTTCACCTACAGTTAGGTCCGGAAATAATTGGACACTGACACAAGTTTTGTTATTTCAGCTGTTTACCAAAATATAAGTTACTTTGTGGGTATTCACATCCAAATTGAAGGAAAGGTTTAGGCATTACAACTCTTACATGTAGCTCCCACTTTTTCAAAGGACGGAAAGTAATTAGACAGTTGACTCAAAAGCTGTTTCATGGACAGATATGGGCTATTCCTTCATTATTTTAATCATCAGTTAAGCAGGTAAAAGGTCTGGAGTTGATTCTAGGTATGACATTCACATGTGGAAGCTATTGTTGTGATCACATAACATGCATTCAAAGGGAGCTCTCAAAGCAAGTGAAACAGGCCATCCTTAGGCTACAAATAAAAGAGAAACCCATCAGAGAGATACTGTAGTGGGAAATCAACAGTTTGGTACATTCTGAGAAAAAAAAATGCACGGTTGAGCTCTGCAACACAAAAAGGCCTGTATGTCTGTGAAAGACGATAGTGGTGGATGATCATAGGATCCTATCCATAGTAAAGAAAAAACCCTTCACAACACCCAGCCTAGTGAAGAACACTCTCTAGAAGGTATATCATTATCATAAATCTACCATAAAGAAAATATTTCATGAGAGCAAATACAGAAAGTTCACCACAAGATCCAAACCGTTCATAAGCCTCAAGAATAGAAAGGCCAGATTAGATTTCCCAAAAAATGTCTTAAAAAGCCACCCCAGTTTTGGAACAGCATTCCTTGGACAGATGAACCCAAGATCAACCTGTACCACAATAATGGGAAGAAAAAAGGATGGAGAAGGCTTGGAACAATTCATGGTCCGAAGCATACTTAAAAGCATACATACATCATATGTAAAGCACATTGGAGGTAGTGTGATGGTATGGGCATGCATGGCTTCCAGTGACACTGAGTTGCTAGTGTTAATTGATGATGTGACAAGACAAAAGCAGCCGGATTAATTGTGAAGTGTATAGGGATATACTGTCTGCTCAGATTCAGCCAAATTCAGCAAAGCTGATTGGACGGCACTTTACAGATGGACAGTGACCCAAAACATACTGCGAAAGCAACCCAGGAGTTTGTAAGGCAAAGAATTGGAATGTTTTGCAATGGCCAAGTCAGTCACGTCATCTCAACCTGATCAAGCACGCATTTCACTTGCTATAGACAAAACTTAAGGCAGGAAGACTCATGAACAAACAACAGTTTCTAGCTGCAGTAAAGGCCTGGCAAAGCATCACAAAGGACAAAATCCAGCTTTTAGTGATGTCCATGATTTCCAGACTTCAAGCAGTCATTGCCTGGAAAGGATTCTTGACAAACTATAAGAAAATGAATATTTTATTTATGATTGTGTTAATTTATCCAGTTATATTTGGTACCTTGAAATAAGGGGACTATAGAAATGGTTGTGATTCCTAAATATTTTATATTTAATAATTATTTTAACACAGAAGTGTTTGTCTTAAAAGAAGCATAGCAATGTATTGTAGCATTTATCCTGAAAAATATATATTATAATTATTATTATAAATATGGTAGAATTGTATATTACATTACATTACATTACATTATATTTTTTAAAAGATGCTGCTTGGTTGAATGAAATTCTCACCTTGCTCAGAATATTTCATATATTGGTCTGCAGTTGACCATCTGTGTACATGAACAGTACAGAGTTAGAATTGTTTATATCCCTTGGTGTACTTAAATGGTACAGATATAGAGTTATTTATACTGTATCCAAGGAAGCTGGTTAGTAATATTTCAAAACTCAAATAAAACAGTAAGAATGGATTACAACACTTACAGTTCAGCAAATCTCTGTTAAATTATTAAGCACTGTCTTTTTAATTTTTAGGCTGGAAGCCAATACTCAGAGGGAAATAACAGCTTTAAAACTCTGTGAAGGACATCCCAATGTTGTGAAGCTGCATGAAGTTCATCATGATCAGGTATAACACACACTATATATTATAAAACAGCTTTTTATATGGAAGGACTAAACATATCCTACATATTAAGTGTATTTTAGATATGTTGGCCAAAATCCTCTTACTTAGCATAGTAAGTTGCACTTAAGAGTAGGTCCATTTGGATCTTTTGGAGGAGTTGATTTTAAATCATTATTTATTTAATTGACCTGTTTTAATGCACTCTACTACACAAAGCAACAGGATTTGGGGCATTGTGAAATAATTTTAATTTGAAGAGTTAGACAAACTAATTCCTAATGTGTAATGCTATTGAATATACTTGAAAGATAGAAATACTTTCTACTGGCACTACTTTTAATGTTTGTCAAATACCACAAGTGTAAAAAAACACACAGCAACCCCCCCCCCCACAAATATGGCAGGATGTCTAAATTCCATTAGTAATTCACAACTAGAATGCGGCAATTGAATCATAGGTGTTGACTCAACAAATTCCCACTGATTCATTGGACCTTCTCTAGTTGCAACTTACTGCTAGATTTTAGCCTTTCTATTAAGCAACTGTAATAGATTTCTTAAAATAATAATTTAGTAATTTATTGAAAGAGTTGTGCCAACAGATTGGATAACTGAGGATAAGATGATTCTAATCTTACTAAAATTTTGGACTATGAGAGCTTATGTTCATTTTCTCCATCATACTGGCCAGAATCAGACCATCAACTATAGAAATACGAGTGTGGCCAGTGGGTGCATCTGAGCAACTTCAAGATTGCTTTAGGAGCACTGATTGGGCACTGTTTGAGGAGGACAATGTTGATACTTATGCCTCAACAGTACTGTTTTATATCAAAAGCTGCATCGATGTTGTTAATACCGCCAGACAAGTACAAGTGTTTTCTAATAACAAGCCTTGGTTAAATAGAGAAGTGTGCCTTTTACTAAAAGCCAGAAATGCTGCTTTTCATTCTGGTGATGAACTACAGTATAGAGAGGCCAGAGCTAAACTGAAAAGGGGCATTAGGGATGCCGAAGCTATGTACAGCCAGAGAATTGAGCAATATCTTGAGAGTTCTGACACTCGTCGGGTATGGCATGGCCTACAACAAATCATGGGGCAGAGTAACAAAAACTGTGTAGCAGCAGTGATTTTTTGGCTGAGCAGTTAAATCAATTTTTCAGCCGTTTTGAGGTGGAAACAGGAACAACCATTATTCCAGCACCTACTGTCTATAATACATCACTAGAATCTAACATCGACAGACAACCACTACTGCTGCAGATTTCAGATGTGAGACGCGCTTTTCAGAATATTAACGTTCGAAAGGCAGTTGGACCAGATAGAATCACGGGACGAGTTGTTAGGGGCTGTGCTGCAGAATTAGCTGGAGTTTTTACGGATATTTTCAATCTATCCTTGTTGCAGTGTTCAGTCCCCACTTGCCTGAAGACATCTATTACAGTGCCAGTCCCCAAGCAGTCAGCTGTGGTACCTCTCAATGATTACAGACCAGTAGCTTTAACATCTGTTGTTATGAAATGTTTTGAGAGATTGGTGCTGGATTACATTAAAGCTAGACTTCCACCTTCTTTGGTCCCATGGCAATTTGCATACAGGAGAAATAGATCTACTGATGATGCTGTGTCCATCGTACTCCATACTGTATTGAGCCACTTAGAACAACAGGGAACTTATGCGAGGCTGTTGTTTGTGGATTATAGCTCTGCTTTTAACACCATTCTACCAAATAGGTTGTTTTTAAAAATGATCAACCTGGGATTACCTCAGGAGATATGCATGTGGATAAAGGATTTTCTGACAGATAGGCCACAGTCAGTAAGGATGGGATCCCACCATTCTTCTACCCTGGTACTAAGTACAGGAGCTCCCCAGGGCTGCGTGCTAAGTCCCTTCCTCTATTCCCTGTACACACATGATTGCACCCCACTATATAACACCAATGCAATTATTAAATTTGCGGATGATACGACAGTGGTGGGACTCATAAATAAGAACAATGAGTCTGCTTATAGAAAGGAAGTACAAAGACTGATACTATGGTGTAAAGAAAATCATCTCACACTTAACATCAAAAAAACTAAAGAACTCATAATTGATTTTAGGAGGAAGAGAAATGTACATTTACCACTGTACATAAACGGTGAGGAAGTGGAGAGAGTTGGTAGTTTTAAATTTCTGGGCACTTACATCTCAGAGGACCTCTCATGGACTACAAATGCCAACATGCTAATGAAGAAGGCACAGAAGAGGCTGTATTTCCTGAGAATGCTCGGGAAGTTAAATTTATCACAGCATTTACTTCTGTCCTACTACCGTAGCACCATTGAGAGTGTCCTAACTTATGGCATTCTGGCATGGTTTGGGAGTAGCTCTGTAGCGGACAAAAAAGCTCTACAGAGAACCATTAAAATTGCCCAGAATATCATCGGGCTCCAGCTACAACCCTGGATGACATCTTCACATCCCGCTGTCTAAGGAAATCACATAGCATCCTGAGAGACTCTTCCCATCCTGCTTATAACTTTTTTGAACTGTTACCATCTGGCAGAAGATATAGAACAATTAAGACTCGGACCACACGTTTTCTAAATAGTTTTTATCCTAGAGCTATAATTACAATTAATAATGAGCTTAAAGACCACCAGTAGTGAATAATTAGTTGGACTGTGTAACTTGGCCTGCGGTGTAGATGTTGGTGTCTGAATTTCATTGTATCGGTATACTCACAATGACAATAAATAAATAAATAAATAAATAAATAAATAAATAAATAAATAAATAAATTCTGTTGGTGATTTACACGTGCACAAGTTAAATTACATAATTGATTGGGGCAAACTGCTGCTAACGAGTGAGGAACAGGTTAGGTTACAAAGCATATCTCCCTTTGCACAACAGGGTGAATGCTAGTAATGCAACATGTGCAACCTCATTTTTAGTGGCAATTTGCTGTGGGTAGCTCACACAGTTGCATGTTACACAAGTAAATCACCAGCAGGATTGTGGCCATTAACTAGTAATTTCCTAAACTAGTAATTTCCAAAATGTGCATTGAATGGCATGAGTAGGATATGAGGGACAGTTAAAAGTACAGTACTGTGAAAAATTACTTAATTAAAATGTAAGGTTCCTAGGAATTTACTCACCCCATCTCTGACAATGCACATTTTAATTATTTCCTGCTCTGGTTTTGCCTACCTCCAAGGTGCCTCTGCTGGGTATGGGTAATTTGGGGTGGCTTGGATAATAAGAGATAAAGCAGAACCTGCCCTGAAGAGAAGAGCACCTAGAAGACTGACTCTTGTTTTTAAAATAGGGGAAAAAATGAGATTTTGAGGGCAAATAGTTTTTGCAATAAATATCTTGAGGTGTATAATTGAAGCATATTTAGAAGATACGCTGGTGTATTTGTCATGTGTTGTATTTTTTTCTGTTTCCCACTTTATGGAGATCTTGAAGTATATGTACATAAAATGATGAATATTATGTCCAGTTAATAATTATTGATCCTCTTTATTTTGAAATACATTTTCTTAAAATAATTATGTTCATGCCAGTTTGTTGTTTCTAGCTCCATACATTTCTAGTAATGGAACTACTGAAAGGGGGAGAATTACTTGAACGCATCCAGAAAAAGAAATACTTCAGTGAAACCGAAGCTAGTTCTATCATGCGCAGACTTGTTTCAGCGGTGAGCCATATGCATGATGTTGGCGTAGTCCACAGAGACTTAAAACCAGAGGTGAGGTCTCAGTAAATGAGCAAGACCTGTGGACACCAACTCACACCCTCCCTTCTCTCCTTTGTCACCCCTTTAATTTGGCCCTTTGTTCCAGTTGTATGTGTTGTGTTGATATATACTAAGAATAAAATGAATTATTAATAAAAACTCCTGAGGTAGTTCTCTAAGATTCACCCAATGGATAGAATCCAATTGTTGTAATATTAATGTTTTTAATGTCTTAAAGCAGTGCATTTGTGATCACGGGTTGGTTCTGTCAGGGGTGGTTCCGTTGGCAGCGTGGGAAAAAGGACAGGAGGCTGTTCTTCTTTTCGAACAGAATCAGTTTTATTTGTAAACAAACTCAACTTGGCTGGCTCAAATGGATCCATTAAACTCAACTCGGGGAACTTATAACTTCGAACTCTTGTGATTGTTTCTTTATATTTCCTTCTTATAGGGGGGCTGGACCAAATTGCTCTCTGTTGGTCATAGGGCGGATCGGAGTGGTGCGCACCGCGCAAACTGTCCCACAACATGGGTGTCGCGCCCAGTCCCCCTCCAGCTGGCTCTGAAGCAAAGAGGGACTGGGATGGATCACCCACCTCCCCCCCCACACTGATTGCGTGGGTACACCACCACAGTCCATTCCAAGGGGTCTACCTCCTGACCGCGTACAACGAACTCTGGAGGTCCCGGCAACAATCCTCCATCCACCTGCAGATTTGGAAACTCTTTGAGCAGTTCCAGAAAGCTTTCATGTCCCATGCTCTATTCCGTCTGGGCTGACCTATCTTTCTTATCGGCTGGTTCACTCTTCACCACTCTGAAACTTACCGCCTTTTCACCTTCTTTTATATCCTCCCATACAGTTAAATCAAGCTCCTCCCCTCTCTCATCAGCCAAACACACTTCTCTATGCTCATGCACTTCCCGGTCATCTGATTCCACCTCTACTAGTATCTCCTCCCCACATCCTGTGCCTCCTTCTGCTCCTTTGACAGAGGAGGACGGCTCACTCCCTTTCTCTCCTTCACAGCATTCCTCTAATTAAGATGTTTATAAATTGTAATTCATTAATGGAAATGAAAAATCAGTGTGCTGAAATCATCTTTCACAGCTCCACATGTGCAGTGGAATGATGTCACCAGCAACAGCAAAGTGCTGCAGACTAAAGGTTTTCTTTGGTGATTTCAGGTTTAAAGCCATTTTGTGGCATCACTCCTTTTGCACATGTGGAGCTGAGTAACGGTATTTCAGACACAGTTTTCTATACTACTTCTCCATGCATAATTACTTTAGCCACTGGCTCCCCCTAATACTGCTTTGTGGTCTCATTAAAATTAGAGTTTTCACTACAAAGTTAAAATTGCCATCAGACCGTGAATATTTGGGTTTATCATGATTTGTTTAGGTTCTTCTGCTAAATTTTACTTACAGTTCTTTTAGCAGCCCAGCTTACAGTACTTTAGAAACTTTTCCAAATACAGTGGTACCTAGACTTACGAACTTAATCCATTTTGAAACGACGTTCGTAGTCAAAAAGTTCATAAGTCAAAGTACCATTTCCCATTGAAATGCATGGGAACAGAATTAATCCGTTGCAGCATTTCAAAAGGCAAAAAGGCAGGGGGAAAGGGCTGGAAATCCCAATTTCCCATCCTTTCTCCCTGCCTTTTTGGCTTCGGAGGTCTCAAGTGGCTTCCTCCAATGTCAGGGGGAAAGCCATTTAAGACTTCCAAAGGTGCCGATCGCGGCGGTGGAGACCCCCAGGGAGGTCTCCCAGGGCTTGCCCGCCAACATGGGAGACCTCCCTGGGGGTCGCTGCCGCAGCGATCAGCGCCTTCGGAGCTCTCCAAGGGTTCTCCCCCCCAACGTCGGAGGAAGCCCTTTGAGAGCTCCAAAGGCAAAAAGCCAGAGAGAAAGGGCTGGAAATTCAAATTTCCAGCCCTTTCTCCCTGCCTTTTTGCAGGCAACCATTTATGAACGGCTCCGTTCTCAAAAATTGGCATTGACTTGCGAACGGAGCCTCGACCTCATTCGTAGGTCGAGCTCCGTTCGCAAGTGAATGCCAATTTTTACCAACGGTAAATCAAAAAGTTCGTATCTAGGGATGTTCGTAACTCGAGGGTTGACTGTATATAATAAGTTTTAAGTTAGAGGAATGGGGGTGGGGGACATGGAAGCCGCCAAAAAGGAGGAAGATCACTGGAAGGCACGCCCCTCTAATGGCAGCCTTCCAACCATTGGATTCTACCCACTGGGAAGATCTTACAGGCAGACCTTACAATGAGGTGGTAATCCATGTTACATTGGAAGGAAACAAAAACAACACCTTAGCCATATGATTGTTGTTGTTAATACTCATAATTTCTCTTCATGTACTCTGTGAATCAGACATAGGAGTGTTTCTGTGCCTGCATTAAACCTAATCAAAACCCAATTGATTCAAGTGTTATTATACCACTGATTACTTTTTACAGGATTGGGATCTGGAGATTTCTGGAGGATTACTACTTAGGCCTTAATGTAGTTGGACATTCCATCTAGAGTATATCCATGGAATTAGTTGCTGAATGTCAATATTTATATAAATTCCAGTGAGGCATTGTGTTTGCTCTAGTTTGATGACCAAGTACTGTATGTTCACATCTTGATTTTCCTATATATATATGACCTAAGTAACTTGAGGATGTTACGAAGTCTAACAGTTTAGGTGTTTTATGTTTATGCTTGCTTCCCCCCCTCATAATTTCTTGATGAGAATTAAATTCATAGGACACACAAAACAATAGTGTATTTTTAAAAATGCTTTCCTGTGTACAACAAACATAAAATCTAATACAATGGTGCCTCGCTTGGCGATGTTAATTCGTTCCGGCGAAATCACTGCAGAGTGAAAACGTCAAACGAAACGAAAAAATCCCATTGAAACGCATTGAAAACCCGTTCAGTGTGTTCCAATGGGCTGAAAAACTCACCGTCCAGTGAAGATCCTCCATACGACGGCCATTTTTAGTGCCTGTAAAGTGAGGAATCCATCCTAGAAAAACAGCAGGGGGGGCATTTTGAAAGCCGGTGGCCATTTTGAAACCAGACGATCAGCTGTTTGCTGATCGTCGTAAAATGAAAAATCGGGTCCCGAAGCAGGGAATCGATCATCGCTAAGCAAAATTCCCCCATTTAAACCATCGTTTTGCGATTGCTTTTGCGATCGCAAAAACATCATCGTAATGTGGATTCGTCGTAGAGCAGGGTAATCGACTAGCGGGGCATGACTGTATAAGCAACATACATACATACATACATGTACATATATATGTATATACATATGTATGTATATATATGTATATATATACATATATGTATATACATATATGTATATGTATGTATACACTGTATATACATATATATATACACATATATGTATATATGTATGTATACACACACACACACACACACACACACATTTCAGTATTATTGGTTGTTCCAACTGGAATTTTAAATTGAAAGTAGTGTTTTTAAATCTAACATTAAGAGTTTTTTTTTTTGCAGAACTTACTATTCACAGATGAAAGTGATAATTCAGAAATAAAAATAATAGATTTTGGATTTGCTCGGTTAAAACCACCTGATGATCAGCCTCTTAAGACTCCATGTTTTACTCTTCATTATGCTGCTCCAGAGCTCTTAAATCATAATGGTTATGATGAATCCTGTGATCTGTGGAGTTTGGGAGTCATTTTGGTAAGTTAAATGCTGATTTTTCTACAGTTAACTTGATCAAATGAAAGAGTTATGTGCATATAAATTAAAAACGTAAGCACAGTTTGAAGAAAATAGAGGTGCAATATTGGACTACTGCAGATATAGTATTGTCTCAGCCTTAAATACAGTTTGGAGATTGTGAGTGGGCCCTGGCATTGTAGGAGTTTTCATCATAATCCAGTTTACCTTGATTTTGGGATTCAATTTCAAATAATAGGTAATTTAAAAATCTGGCATGGTTCCAGATGGAGATTTCATAGCTCAGGCAGCCGTAAACTAACATGTAGCTGTTAGGCAAGATCTAACAGAAAAATTCAACTAGTGTAAAGCCATCGGCTTAAATTTTACTAGCAAACTGAAGCAAGTTAAAAAGTCAAAATAGACATTTGGTCATGCACTGGGTCACATGGCTGGTGGGCAACAGCATTGCCTACTCCAGCTTCTTAACTAGTGGCAATTCACCTCTGAGATTTACACTAATGGACTTATACGGATGGGCATACATAACAGGATTTGACCCATTCTGTGGTCCCTTCCTTAACAGAATCATTCTGGTAAGAAAAAAGATGTAGGAAGCAGTGAAAAAATATGAGTGACTTGTAGGTTGTCCTGATGTGCTGCAAAATTGAACAAATTAGGCATGCTGGCATCAGACCAATGGCCTGCATTGTTCAAAATTCTGTTTACATGTATTGACCAACCAATTCCCTAGGACAAGGCTAGACGCAAGACATGAGAGAAAGATCATCCTCCCAGTTGGGCTCCCCAGGAATTGTTGTATATCCATCTTGATTTGCAGCCATTGCTAGCTTAATTTGTCTAAATCCCCTTTTAAAATTGCCAAATTGGTGAACATCCCTATACTTTTTGGTAGCTACACCCTGTTTGACAAAATACTTTTATTTGTTCTGAGTCTCCCATCATTCTCCTTCGGTGGATGATGTGAGAGAAGGTGAAGAGTTTCATGCTGTTCAATTTCTCTGGTATCTGGAACTCTACTACAGTTTATTGCAGTAGTTCCCATGTCGGGTCACAAATGTTTTTGGACTGCAACTTCCTGAAGTCTTTGCCAGTACGGCTGGTGGTGAAGGCTTTGGAGAGTTGCAGTCCAAGAATGTCTGGAGAACCAAGGTTTAGAACCACTGGTGTATTGGATGGAGTGACAAGACTAGAACTCAGGAGACTCAGGTTCAGGTTTCTAATCAGCCCTAGAAAATAATGAGGGTTATGGTGGTGGAACTGGGAAACCATCTATTAAATATAGAGTTTAACAGAAATACATTGGTTTTGACTTGATGGCACATCACACACACACACACACTTTTTACACATAATTTTATATACCTTCATTATGTATCCCTCCACTTGTCTTTTTTTACAAGCCAGTGTTGTAGCCTCTCCTCACAGGGAACTTGCTTCAGTCCCTGAATCATCATGCTCTCCCTTTTTTACAACATTCCCAACTTGACAATAATTATTTTTAGGTATGATGAACAGAATTATCCATAGTATTCTTTGCAGTTCAGATTAATGTTGAGGCAAGGTGTTACTGGCAGTTTTATTTTCTTTTTCTTTTCTTTCTTTTTTTTTGGCTGCTTATGCCTCTAATGGAATATGCGTTTCCAGTATCAGTTGCAAGCTACCCGGTTCATCCTTTTCGAAGATATAGACAACATCTGTTCACCAATTGCTTGTTTTCTAAGAACTCTCAAAAACTGAGATTACATATACAGTATAGGTTCCTTTAGTACCCTTGGACATAGTTCATCTGACACTGGAGACTTTTTCCCCACATGATAATAAATTTAATAAATTGAAACTCAATCCAGGCAAGACGGAAGTGCTGTTAGTGGGTGCTTCGCCGGACAGGTTGGAGGGCCATTTCCCTGCCCTGAATGGGGTTACACTCCCCCTAAGGGACAGGGTCCGCAGCTTGGGGTGCTCCTGGACCCCAGTCTAACTTTGGAAGCTCAGGTGGACTCAGTGGCCAGGGGTGCCTTCCTTCAGCTGCGGAAATTATACCAGCTACGGCCCTACATGGACGAGCGGAGTCTCATGACAGTTACACACTCGTATTGATTATTGCAATGCACCCTACGTGGGGCTGCCTTTGAAGACGGTCCGGCGACTGCAACTGGTCCAGAATAGAGCTGCGTGGCTGGTGAGTGGTGGGGCCGCTAGAGAGCACATCAAGCCGATTTTGTATAATTTACATTGGTTACCAGTTGCTGCCTGGGCCCAATTCAAAGTGCTTGTTTTGACATATAAAGCCCTAAACGGCTTGGGCCCTGGATACTTGAAGGACCGCCTCCTTCCATATGAGCCTACC